CGGGGCTCCCAGCCAATGGGAGCAATGTGAAAAGTGGCCAGGGAAGTGGTTCCCTGCTCTGTCCATTCCTCCAGCCGCCAGGGGAAGGGGAGCAGCAGCGGCAGCATGCAGATCTGCTTCCTCCCTGGTATAAGTCATGTCTGGCCTGTGAAGCTTGGGGCTCCCGCCCAGCGAGAAGCTGGTGCTGGCACTCCAACCACACGAGGGGCTGCAAAGCTGGAGCAACAGTGCAGGCTACCCGCTGTGGCGGGGAGGCGGGCGAGCCCTGAAGGGGTCTGCAGACCACACTTTGGCTACGTCTACACTGGCATGATTTTCCAGAAATGCCTTTAACGGAAAAGTTTTCCATTAAAAGCATTTTCGGAAAAGCGCGTCTAGATTGGCAGGATGCTTTTCTGCAAAAGCACTTTTTGTGGAAAAATGTCTGTGGCCAATCTAGACGCGCTTTTCTGCAAAAAAGCCCCGATCGCCATTTTCGCCATCGGGGCTTTTTTACGGAAAACAAATCTGAGCTGTCTACACCGGCCCTTTTGCGCAAAAGGACTTTTTTCTTACATGAGATCGTCAGTGCTTTTGTGGAAATTCAAGCGGCCAGTGTGGACAGCTGGCAAGTTTTTCCGGAAAAGTGGCTGATTTTCTGGAAAAACTTGCCAGTCTAGACACAGCCTTTGAGAACCGCTGTGCTAGAGCTAATGAGCAGCTAAAACAGGGAGGCTTACAGCTGGGGGAGCAAAAGGAGAGTTTATGCTACTAAGGGGGACCCGCTCACAGTTTCCCCTGTGCTCATCAAGCTGTTTCAGTGAAACAGACTGTGACAGGGTAGGCAGAAGGGGTTAAAATCCTGTGGGCAGAGGAAGTCCCGCCCCTCCACCCAGACTGGGCATGCTCCAAGTGTTGGGCAGTATAAAAGGGAGCAGCTCTGCTCAGTCTGGGCTAGATGCTGGAGAGGAAGGACCTGCTGCAGGAGCACCAGAGGGACCCCAGCTGGAGACCCAGGAGACAGCACTGAGCCCTCAGAGCCGGAGGAGCCTTAGGGAGAGGCTGGTGTTGGGGATCCAGAGACCACATGGAGCACCCAACACTGGATCTGGCAGGAAGTGGCCAGGGGGGGGCGCGAGTACCTCCCACCTGAGTGAGCTCAGCGTGTTGCGGCGGGATTCCCTGCTGAGTGAGTGGCGGATCATGCCCCCACTGACAGGGCCCTGGGTTGGGGCCCGGTGGAGTAGGGTGGGCCTGGGCCCCCTTACCAGGACTACTGCCCCAAACCCCTGTGTTACTGACTCTGGCCATTAGGCGGTGCTGCCCCAAACCCAGGGGCTACACTATTGAATCAGAACAGACCTCACCGCCTCAGGGCACCGGACTGTCAAAGGGCACCAGCGGCCTGGCAGCCGAGCTGGCGGTGTCCACACCCCTTGCACCAGCCCCGGCAGGCCAGCAGTTGTATCCATTCCCTGTGATGAAAACCAGGTGGCAGTGGGCGTGGACATGGAATATCCCCTGCCACCGAGCGCCTCAGGCAGACGGTGTGGGACTGGTTCCGCGCTCCGCATGCTACCAACGTGCTGGGTGTCACCGCCCACCGAAGGGATTCTGGGTCTCTCAGGGTGGCTGAGGGAACAGCCCAGTGACGGGCCTGCTGATATTCTCACCTCTTCTTTGCTGGGGGCTGCAATAATTGGACCAAATAAAGTCGCATGAGACTAAAGCCGGTCAGACAAGGAGCGAGCATAGGAAATAATTGTGTGTAATACACACACGCTGGCCTCTGGCAGCCCCCTCTGATCCCAGCGAGCTGGCGCAATAGGAGTGAGCAACCCCCCCCTTGGAGGCATCGACATAGTATTACCCCCATTTTAAAGATCGGGAAGCTAAGGCACAGAGCGGCTGGGGCGACACTATGTAGCACTCGATGTCTAGTGACCGGCCCCCAGATCCATAGGTGGGCACTTCACTCGTGTGACAGTGTGACGGCGCTTTAAGAGCAAAACCCCAGCCCTGAGAGACGGCTGCCAGCAAAGCCCCAGCTGAGGCTGCTCTGCTGATGAGGGCCCAGCTGGGGCCTGTATAAGGAAGGGCTCCAGGAGGGAGAGGGAGAATCTCTGCTGCTCTGGAGAGAGAGCACTAGGGACAGGGCTGCCAGGGAAGCAGGAGGCTTCCCGGAGGCAGAGCAGGGCTGGGGAAGGGAGGCAGGGCTGGGGATGCCCTGGCCAAGTCAGCTCCCAGGCTGCAGAGCCTGAAGCAGCCAGGTTAGGCAAAGGCAGCAGGTCCACCCCCCTTTGCCAGTGCTGAGTGGCCACTTCAGCGGCAGTCTGCCCCGGAGGCAGGGGCTAGCTGGAGGCTGGCCGTGGGTCCCTGAGGCAAGGTGGGGACAGGGGAACTGGGTGCTCCCTGGGAGGAGACCTGGGTGCCCTGTGGAGGGGAGGATCCTGGAGTGTCAGTTGGGTAAACACCCCCCCCTCCCCAGAAGGGGGTGCAGAGAGACGGGGCGGGCACGGCCGGAGGGCAGCGTCCCGGAGAGGAGGCCGTGGTCAAAGAGGAACATGGGGAGACACCAGCGAGAGGGATGCGTCCGGGGGGCAACAAGCTAATTCCCGTGACAACTAGGCTGCCTTATTTCCAGCAGAGTTCTGTGCCCCCTGCTCTGTCAAAGTCGGGGGTACCCAGGGCACCTGTAACGGGGTGTCTGCCCCGCTCTGGCAGCAGATGGGGCCATGGGAACCCGAGGGCTCTGTTAGCTCCTGGGTTACACCCGGAGGGTGTTTATCAGCCCCCACGGGGCCATGAAGAGCCCAGCTCAGAGCAGTGGGAGGGACTCGCATGGAGGCAGGAAGCCTCAGGGGAGAATAGGTCCAGGGTCCCTTTCCGGGGAAGGGGACTTGGGTGGAAGGCCAGGAAAGCAGCCTTGGTGGGGGAGGGGAGCACTTGTTGTGAGCCTGGATAAAAGGTCTGGAAGTGACCGTTTATCAGCCCCCACGGGGCCATGAAGAGCCCAGCTCAGAGCAGTGGGAGGGACTCGCATGGAGGCAGGAAGCCTCAGGGGAGAATAGGTCCAGGGTCCCTTTCCGGGGAAGGGGACTTGGGTGGAAGGCCAGGAAAGCAGCCTTGGTGGGGGAGGGGAGCACTTGTTGTGAGCCTGGATAAAAGGTCTGGAAGTGACCGTTAGGGAGAAACCCCTGGGAGGAGCCGAAAGGAGTCTGCCGAACTGGAAGGGGCTGGGGAAAGGCCCTGGGGGGGGGGGGGGGGGCGAG